AAGAGTGTCCCACAAGAGTGTTCCACAAAAGTGTCCCACAAGAGTGTCCCACAAGAGTGTCCCACAAGAGTGTCCCACAAGAGTGTCCCACAAGAGTGTCCCACAAGAGTGTCCCACAAGAGTGTCCCGTAAGAGTGTCCCACAAGAGTTTCCTACAAGAGTGACCCACAAGAGTGTCCCAGAAGAGTGTCCTACAAGAGTGTCATTTGGACATATGTAGCTTTTCGAACGTGTGTTTGCATTCGGGTTCGTGGGCTCCATCTTGTTGTTTTTTTCAGCCGAAGCGGCGCGACAAAGCCTGGCGCATGCAGCTGATTCTGTGCACTGCGGGTCAGCTGCGTAGTGCAAATCGTGGCCACAGAGGTGAGGAAAATGGCGCAGCCTCCAACCGGATTGTTGGGAACGGTGATTTTGGCTAGAAACGTATCCACACGCATATTTGGGTCGAAGTTGCCAACAAAAACGATCTTAGGAAAAGTAACATGAAATAACATTCACCTAGTAACAAGTGCATCGCTACTAGGAACAAGTGCCTTACTAGTAGTAACAAGAAGCTTCTAGTAACATTCACCTGATTAATTATAGAGAGATTCCATGGGGTGAGGGGACATGCTTCACCGATCGCGAGACGTTGCACATATGTCAAGCGCAAAACATGGGGATGTCAACGTCTTCAAGTGGTATGCCTGTGGCTTTCGACGACGGTCATTTCCAAATGATTCCTCAAGTCAGTCTCGGCACAAAGTACCAGAACCATTGTGAAGGGGCACACAAATTCGGTGGTATGCTTTTGAGCCGCCCGATAATACCTGGTACCTCATGGTACCTCCTGGTATCCCGCTTCAGGATTTGACAAACACTCCGCACCCAAAGGACATCGCGGCGCGACCCAGGCGCCTGCGTGCCCACGGTGGGACATGTGCAGCGGCAGAAGCCTCCAGAGAGTGCGACCCGGGCCTCAAACAGGATGGTGGTCACATGTGATGAAACATGGTGGTCAACCACTGAAGGAGTGGTTTCACAACTGGAAGAACATATAAGAATTCGCCTTTGCTGCAAGTCTAGCAAAGCAAAAGGTTGACACAAAGCAAGTATCTTCCGTGGTTGTGCCATCGATCTTCACCTCAGTCTACGATTCACATTTGCGAGACTCCAGTTTTTGCAGCCATCGGAAGGTCCCCCTCCCCCTTGAGAGCCTCAAAAACGCCAGCAGCTGCTCATGGCAAACACATGGTCCGCTTTCGATCTAGTCCGAGCAGTTAAGTCAGCAAGTCCAAAATAGGTGTGGATCTCTGATCAGACTGGGGAGAAAAACAAGGAGAACTTCCGTTTTCTCAACTGAGCGTCTTAGAACTTTGAACCCGCATACTGAATTTGGCTCCATATCAAACTGTTTGCGGTGCTCTTTATCAACACCCCTTTTGTGGCCACATTGGTGTCGCAAAAACTAGTTTCTCATCATTCCATCTTTCCACTGGCCGAGCCTTCTGATCTTGTTGCACTTTGCCGAGGTCATATGTTTCTTATCTCATTGTGTGCTTGATGTCTCCTCATGGCTTTCTGCGATGCCAACATGCTCCAAACCGGACTTCGGACTTGGGGCGGTGGACTGCCATGGTGTTAATGCACGAACCGGTACATGGCGCCCTATTTCATTCACCATTCCCACGATGCGTTTCCATTCAATCACCTCTGGTCGCGAACAAACGGGCGCCCTTTCGCGGGTCGAGAACCAACCGGCGCCGAGAAGTGTCTTTTTACGACTCTCAGCCGGACACTCAAAAGATCTCAAAAGAATAGAGACCAACGACTGAGCCGTCAAGCTAGGGCAGCTATGCTTCACAGTTCCCAACAGCTTTGGTTGGAGATGATAATCATGGCAGCTTTCGGTTGGCTGCTTTTTGGCATTCTGGCCTGGCCGAAAGGAGAGCATGTGAACGCGTCATTGGAATGGGATGCTCAAGAGTGGATGATGACCGGCAACGGGAGCCTCGATTGGGATTTGGAAGCTTGCAAATGCTTGCAAACAGTTGGGTCAATAAACCTGGGCCTGATCTAATAAGGTATATCATATTTGATTAGTTAGTTGTTTATACTTAATATGTTGATATATGTTGATCCTGGTGCAGTAATTATGTCTTCTTGATGCCGGAGCGTGGACAACCTGTCAAGGGGTGTCTTTCCAGCAGCATGGTCGACCAGGCAACTTATGGATACGACAGGCACGTTGAACCCGCGCAGCTGTGTAAACCTTCAGGCCTTAAAGCTCAAAGCCTTTGAGGAGTTCCTTCATCTCCTTCCAGGGTTGCAAACCCAGGTTTGTCCAGATCAACTGGTGAATGTAGACTCCCAAAAGAAAGAAACCCTGAAGGATTAAGGACATTGTTCACACATCCTGAGGAGAGGATTTGATCTTGTTCGTGGAGCTCAACCTCTTCCAAACATAATGCACTTTCGTAAGGTCAATCACTTAGCCATTGGGGTATCAACAATCTGCAGTCCACAGTGGTGGACTGGCGAGCAGGCTCAAGTCCAACAGGCAGACTGGAGCTCTACATCCTCATCCTCATCCTCTTTGCTCTACAGGTGGGTACCACATGGTGCGACTGTATCCAAGTTCCCTCCAAGAAGAACTCCAAGAAGTTCACTGCGGATGGGAACAGATGCGAATTCCAACCTTTGCCCCTTGAGGTTTACAGTATGAGCTTTGCGACCTGCCACATCTGTGGCCAATGCGTTCAAAGGGTACACTGATGGACAACCACACGTTTTAATCGTTTATCTTCGCTTGTCAAGCTTCTTTTTGGGGGGCACGTTCGCTCCACAATCTGAAGCGGGCTTTACACGGCAGGGTTGCTAGTAACTAGTAGCTGGTCGAAACTGCTTTCTGGAATCGTGCTGCGGCTTGTTCGACATATTGAAGAACCGATTCCCAATCCTTTTGATACGTAAAGGCGTGCCCATCATCCTTATGCCAAACACATCATCCTTATCGGTGAGTGATCGACGGCTCCTCCCCTTGCATTTCGTCTTCGAATCTCATCATGAACTTTGCATCTGTGCGGACGTTCTCGACCACTTGGGCAATGGATCGCTCCAAGCCGGGAACAGGATGCTGCTGGAAAAAGGCCTGCCAGTGGAAGAGGTACAAGCACACATTGAAGTCCGAGACTTGGGAGATCTTCATAACTAAAAAATACTAAAAAGATCCAAAAAGCATAGTTCAATAATCTACATATAATATACTGAATACTGCTGCAATTCTCCGATTTGTTTCTGTTTAGCACGCTGGGACCGACATGTTCGGCAATCGAGGTTTGCGGCTGATGTTTCACATGTGTACGCAACAAAGTGAAGTGTCACGAAGAAGCAACACAACTTCAAAACAAAAGGTGCAACTAGGGCAAATCAGCTATACAAAGGTGTCCATGCTATTTTGAGATCTTGGAGCATGGTGCAAGATCACTTCATGAACCTGGAATAGCTCCAACCGCTCCACGGCAAAGGTGTACAATGGACATCGAACTCCTGCCGATTTGGTCGCATCGAATCGGCGGCCGTCCGCACGTTCACCCCACCTCCACGGCATTCGCATGGGCCTTGTCCGGCACAGCTCCAGCAGCAAGCTGGATCACCACACCCAACAACCTCACATTGGCACCTGAGAGCAGAACGACAACGACGTTTTGTCGTGATTTGGCAAAAGCCTGCTGCGTGCTGGCTCTCTCGTGGAGCCGAAATCTCTCAGAAAGCTCTGCGAGTGTCATTGAAAGCAAGTTCAAACGCTTGTGGCAAACATTGGCAAACACTATGACTGACAAAACTGGTCAATCTCAAACATATTATAGTTTATTGAAGCCCACGCTCGGTTCTGGCTGAATTCGCTTGTGCTTGTTGGAAAAATCTTTGACCCTCCGTTGGCTCTGCGCGGGAGCTCTGTGTGGGCACCTTTCAGCCGTGCCATGATGCTCCGCCGCCGCTGGATGAACCAACGCCAGGCCAATTGCGCGCCGTCGGGATCTGCTTGGGACACGCCCTGCCCGTCGGGACACGTTCTGAAAAATGTCGTCGTCATCGGCCCCACCAGCTCTTCCGGAAGAATCGGAAATCATGATCCTCAAGTCGCTAACATAATTACAGTATGGAGCATTGAGCATGGCAGGTCAAATGCTCCTTTCTCAGGCCACGCTCGCCCCCGGAACACTACTGGTTGAACAATGCCGTAAGCCCGTCATGTTGCAGGGACTCCGGTGTCCCAAAAGAAGGGCCAACGACAGATCCATGAGGATCTCTCCAACCAATTCCCAAACGCTCTACGTATGCCATATATGCCTGCATTGGGGTGGTTTCGGGGGCCAATGTAGGCATATATTGCATACATGGAGTGTCTGGGATTGGGGCATTTATTCGCTTTGCCCACCCTCATGACAGTTCAAAGCCGTAAAGATCGCTCAGGTTCCCCACCTGCACTGGATACATGATGTCTTGGAGCCGAACTCCACTGCGTCCACCCGTGGCCATATCCAGCGTCTTCATACCTGGATCCCAGGTGTCAGTCGCCGGAATCGCTGGACGTATCAAAATGGCGAAAGCACCTTGCCCGTCATGTATCTGATGGGAGGTTTAGTTGCACAATCAGATCACAGGTCCGACAGGTCCCATTTCCATCTATTTCCTCCCGAAGTACGCAAGTCTTTCCGCTTGGCCGATCCCAAGGCAGTGTAGATGCTCAAACGCACGGCCTGGCCAGTTGCGTCAAGATCGATGGATCGGTACTGATCGATTACAAGGACAAGGACTTGCTGGCTGGTCTCTGGTCACAATATGTCACAATCATGGGTGTGCTTTTTCTAAATAGCGAGACACGATGAGTCTTGTATGGTTTTGTGTTTGGTCCTTCTTCCAGGGGGTTGAACTGATCACCAGGTGATTGTCACAACCAGGTTTCAGACTGATATACTGCGATATTATGAGGCACTGTATTATTGGGAACTTCCCACTTCATCTGTACTTATAGTATAGAATCCCGGTATGGGTGTTGATCAATACTCCTCACAAAGAGCCTAGGCCTCAACATGTCCAGCTCAGTGACGCCGAACGGATTTCCAGCACCTGCGCGCCATTGCGCGCCTGCGGGATGTCCGTACGCCGGGCATAGCGCCGTAGGGCATTGTAGGGAGCATCCGTCTCAGCGTTGGTGAGAACGATCCTTGACCGGGGCGAGAGGACATGGCGTGGGTCACCCGGACGAGACCTTGGCTGGTTGACCTGCCTGGAAGATCAACCAGTTTATACGTGGTGGACCCAGGCTCCAGGTTTGGACCCATCTTATATAGTATAATCATCGGTGCTTGCCGTGCTTGCCTATTCAATTTCCAGCTCTCTGGAAGGCTGGCCATCCCACAACTGTCTGATAAGGGGACTCTGACGGTGGAAGTTGGAGTTCGTGTGTCATAGTAATTTTGGTCCCCTGAACACTGAAAACAATTAACGGAGTGGAACATAGTGACAACAAATGGGTCGACAACTTCATAGGATGTCTGAACGATCTTACATTGAAATGCGCCTGTCGCTTTGATTGGTTCAAAAGTCTGCATTGCCTTCAACTCATTCCGGATCTCATGCGTCAGCAGCAGCAGGTCATGATGAACAAAACACAAAACATGGTCAGTGGCAAGGTCATCTGGATCTAACCTGTGTATCCAAGCCGGCAAACTAGCAAGCTGCTTATGTTGGAGAGCATCCAGGAATCCACCAGCCCAGCCTTTCTGTTCATTTACATTGAATCTACATGCTTTGTTCCGGTCAAGGAGCTTAAAAATTGACGTCTTCAAATCATCCGGCAAGGTGTCCTGTAGATCCTGGGCATTCAGCCACCGCTCAAAGCGAAGCTTGGCTTCTTCTGCCAAGGCCTTGTCCTTGGGCAAATACCTGAGGCTTTGGAAGAGACTCCTCCACCCGCAAAAAGCCTGAAGAAGGCCTCATCCACTTTTGACATAGATAGTAATTTGGATGAGAAACCGCTGTCCATTTTCAGAAACAACTAGGAAGATCCCTGAAACGAAGTTACCACATATTGCGTTATATGTCCATATTGTTACATGTTCAATCAATTAGTTATCAACGATCGGCCAGGCCAAAGTGCATGGCCATTAGCCTCAAGATCAATGCCCGTTTGTGGCGCGTGAGGTCGGTCTCTTTGGCAGAAGCTGCTATACCTCCAGCTGGCTGGGGCCAAATAAACGACTTCCATGACCCATGACATGATCTTCCATGTCATCCGAGATCATGGATGTGGATGTGGATGCCCGCCCTGGAATGGTCTCCCACAGAACCACCGTCAGAGTATCTGGCTATGTTCCTTGATCACTGTATCACTGTCAAAGGTCATTATTGGACTGGAACAACAATTGCTTAAGGTTCAAGCTTTGCTGATCATCCGATTCCCAAGTTCCATCAAGATGCGGTCGGATTTAATTTAGGTTGCTTTTGCTTTCTTTTTTCCTTTTTGTGTTTCGTGGCAGGCGCAGTACTTTGTGGACCTTGAAGTGCAGATTTCA